GACCTATGTTTCTTTGGGCCTGCTTACTTTACTTAATATAATTTGATGTTGGTACAATTTGTGGAGGGGAAGGGAAAAACAAATTGTTTAAATAGGGATACAGGTGGACCCACTGCAACAGTGAGATGTACAAGACGTTATGTCAAAAAATGAACTTCACAACTTTGCCATGGTGGGGGCGGAGGAGGGAGCTGGGAAGGGATGGGAAGGGGAAACAAAGGAGGAGGCAATAATGCTTGATAAATGTACTCATTACCTTGCTCATGTAATTGTAACCCCTCTGTACGGTATTTTCACAATAAAAAATAAAAATTAAAAACATTAAAAAAGAAGGAATAACTTATTTCTTCTTATTTCTTCTTTAATCTGATGTCTTTTACACAGCTTCCAGCTGTGGCCTGTAACATCTCATTTCCATGCTGATTTCCATCTAATGTGGCACTATCTATTTATTTTAATGTTCTTAGAATGGCTATCGAAAATATTGTTACTGATTAATCTGCTTAAATACCACAAAATTATATCATATTCATAGCCTGCCAGAGCTAGCCTTATTAGTTAGTTGTAGTAAGAGAAATTATACAGCAGAATTCTGAGATCTATCATCAAAATAGAGAGGAAAAGCTAGTGTTCCTATGGGCTTGGGACAAGATACTAAGTAAAATTGAAATGAGTAATTCTTCAGTGTTATAAAAACAATAAGCATGACTATTCTAGTAATCAATACTGACTAATGATGTGGAGTTAGGATTCTGGTATAGAAGGCTAAGATGAATGTAAAATCTTGTCTTTAAATACATTGTCTAAAGCTTTGATGCATGGGCGATCAGGGTGCTTTCAGTGTTAAAGCATCTAAGAAACTCAACTCCATTGGGCAATGATGTATTATCAGAAAGGCAGGCAGTAAAACCTCCTGTTACTGAGAACTTAAGCAGCTTAAGTTCCTTTGCTTGCTACAGAATAATTCAATCAAGAAAGGGAGCATAACGAAAATGATATTAAAGAGAAAGTGAGATCACTACAACACAGCAGGAGGCTCAAGAGCCAGGCTCTAGACCATTAAACCTTTTGTCTGTTGAAGAGTTAAGGGTCAAGGAGAGATATAAGCTGCACTTCATTTGGCAAGAACTCTTTTGGACACTCTGATGGATAGATGTAATCTGTGGAAGAAATATGCATCTGTGCAGGCCCAGATTTACTGCAATGTTGTGCACAGACTCTCTACAGAGACTGAATAGTCTGGAATTGAGATTCGCCATACATCTTCGGGGCCAGACTTGGCTGAAAGGTCATGTGCTTACTTTTGGCTCATGTGCACTGGGAAGAGGCTTTGCTTGCCAGAAGCCTGTAGTTATCAGGACTTTTTTTTTTTTCTGGTAGATTGTGGGGCTTGAAGCCTGGGCACTGGCCCTCAGCTCTTCAGCTCAAGACGATGGCTCTACCACTTGAGCCACAACACCACTTCCAGTTTTCTGAGTGGTTTATTGGAAATAGAGTCTCACAGACTTTCCTTCCCAGGATGGCTTTGAACCATGATCCTCAGATCTCAGCCTCCTAAGTAGCTAGGATTACAGGTGTGAGCCACCATGCCCAGCAGTTATCAGGACTTTAGACCAGATATCTGGTTCAGGATTAGTACATTGATGAGCACTATAGGAGAAAATTTGGGGTGTTAAGGTGTTTATTGAACAAGGGTGAGTTTTGTGAGTCAGAGGTCCTACGGTGTCCTGGTAACCAGGAACCATGTGTCATGTGATTTCAAAAACAAAATCTCTAATAGTGTATGACTTTGGAGACAGAAGATTTCTCCTCTAATCAGAGTTAATTAACCAAACCAGTTGTGTGTTTTTCTTATTGTTTTCCATATGTTGTGAGAGGGCTTTATCAGACAAGTCTTTATACTACTGTCATTTCTTAGCTGAACCATTTTCCCTGAATGTTTAGCATATTTCATGTTTTTGACTAATACTTAAAGATAACAAAGCAATCTTAAAAAATATAACCATTTAGGTTGAATGTTTTAAAAACTGTACCACTACAAAATGAAATATTTTACCACAGCAATTTTTTTCTCTAATGCTATTTCCCTATCCTGTATATATTCCATTCCAACACACCATATAGAATCAGACAGGATCAAAATGAAATAAAAACAAGCCAGCAATTTTATCCATGGTTTCCCTCTTTGTATCTTTGGTTTGGTCACAGGCTATTGGAAATCTTGCCAAATGGATTACCATCCTCTCTCAATATCAGAGAACTGGACTGCAAATCCCTTCTGATTGACTCTTCCTACCTAGAAGCAAGAGGGTAGAAGTAGGAAGGCTTATTTTTTCAGCTTTTTGCAATGCACATCAATATAAGAAAGGCCCTCATAGGCCCCTTTAGGAATAAGAAAGGTGATTTGTGTGTTGCATTGTTCTTCACTAGGTAGACCTTTGTCGCATAGACACTTTCTTCCCTGTCTAGCTGTGGTTGGCCAGCTACTGCTCAATATTGTTATAGAAAGAGCAAAGCAGATTTAGCTGGGTACAACTAAAAGCAATTAAGTAGGAAAAACAGTTATGCTCCTATTTCAGTTGTGGTATCTCAATTTTAAACTCTTGAGGACTCATTAGCAATTCCCAACTGCACTATGCTGGTGGTTGTAAAAATGGATCCATTTATGCTTTTCCAAAAGGACACTGTCGCATGGTTCAAGCACAAGTTTATCGGGGAGAGAGCAATCTGCTGGCCCACATGAGATAGAGGCGTACAGAGAGAGAAAAGAAGAAAAAAAGGAAGAGGAACAGAAGGTGGGATTTATGGTTGGAGGGATTATATAGAGAAAGGTTGGGAATTGTGACCACAGCAGATGCAGAAGTGATCTCAGAGCCTTGGGAACCTCTCACTGTCCAAAGATGTGACCAGGACAGTTCAGGAAGTGACCTCAGAGGATAAGCATGGGGTCCTTAGAAGACTCACAGGCAGGTGACTGACAGTCAGGTAATTACTGGTTTTAGGTGATTTCTGTTAAGGCTACATGCTGTCTTTTATGAAAAGGAAGGAGCAGTTCTCCCAGGCAAGCCTAACAATTGCTAAAATGTCTACAATATTCTAAGAGCTTTTATTAAATATAAAAAAATCAGGAAGGATATGTCATCACCTTGTCACTCCACTGATAATTAAGAGTACAAAGGGCTTGACTAATTTAAAGGAGAAAGTCTGTAAACGAATGTTTAAAGGGCCAACTCCAAAGTTTATAACCCCAAACATGTCTCTTAAGAGTATTTTTTTTGAAAGTACCTATTATTCTCTGGCTTGAACTTATTTACATGTGTTAGTATGTAGTTAGTACTAGAATGCAAACACCAAAATAACTGATTTTCCTCCTCTCCTCAATTTCTCAGTATGGGCGTATCCCAGATGGGCTTCTCTGTACACTCTTATTAGTAATATACTTGTTAATGGCATATTTATATATCCAATGTTGACTTTTCTCCAGAATATCACACTTACAGATCATTTTCTGCTTAATACAGGAATACTCAATGAGTACTATAAACTTAATACATATTCCTTTTCCCACAAAGCTCTGTCCACATCTCATAGTTACACTTTAGTCTATTTCCTTAGGTTCAATCAATGGATCAATCAATTGATCCTCATGCTTTTGCCTTTTCTCACTGAAATCTAAAAGGAATTTTTATACCTAAACTTTAATGATTCCTCTATACACTTAATGAGAAAAAAAATTCTGAAAGTTTTCCAGGTGATTGAACTTTCTACCAATTGAGAGGAAAACAAAAAGCCCCAGATAGCCAGGCCAGTCCACTGTCCTGCTGCTACTGCTCAGGAGAGGGTCTTGCTTGTTTTAAATAAGCCAGCCACTGTCTGGCAAATTAAAGGGAGGACATAATGTGGAATAGAGGCAATGTAAAGCAACTGGCCAGGACCACAAAGCAGACAACCAGTTTCAAGGTCCCACTGTGCATTTTTCCTGAGTGGCCTTCCCTTTCTCTTTGTCAAATGAACACTTTATCACTGTGCCTGCTCTTTCTGGACTTGGTTTCTATATTGTCAGAGAACAAGAGCATACCATGCTAGTCTATCACAATCCTGTAAGGTTTATGTGGCCTGATCCTGCCTAATAACTGGGGGGTTGTTCACCCCAGTATTCTATGAAAGAGCTCTGATATACTCTTTACTGCTACATCACTCATGTATCAAATAAAAAGATACCTCAGTAAGAGACCCCTTGGCTTTTCAGACAGTAGCACCTGCACCTAAGCTGGACCTGGAGGAAATGACCCCACATCCTGGAATACAAAATGGGGATAAGAGTACTTATGTAGGGGTATGTGTAGGTTTAGAGATTATAGGGTATATCTTGCTAGAGGCTACCAATGTTGTGAACTACTTGCCACGGGGGCATATCAGCTACTATACAAAACGCTGTATTTTTTATCCTTTACTCTCTATACTGAAACCTACTGTGCTGAGCCTTACAGTGCTGACTGGCATTACCCGTTGTTTTCCCATTTACCAGACTGTAGAACACACCCATTATTTCAACGCCAGCCCCGCCCCGCCCCGTCCCGTCCCTACGGCCGCGGGAGATTAACTGCGCCTGCGCGGGATTGAAAGGCCCAGGATTTAAAGCCCAGGACAGGCCTAAACTCCCGCACTGGAGCGACGTCGCGGCGCAGCTCCAGGCGGCGCACGCGCAGTGCAGCGCTGGCCTTCGGTCCAGGTGACTTGAGTTTTCACTTTCCTTGTTTTTGTTCCCGTTGTTTCTTCCGTAGCCTTCGCGCCTCTCCGGGCCACTTTTTCTTTTCTTTTGAAAAACAAGGATCGCTTTCGGCGCCTTCCCGAAACTCCAGTCATCCGGTCTCCACCTTCGCTCTCCAGCTCCGTGTCCTCCCGTCTCAGGAGCTTCTGCGGAAGTGCCGCGCTCCGCACTCTCAAGATCTCGCGGGATTTCCTTATTTCCCCCACAATCCCCCGCGCGAGGTGGAGTTGTGCGCTTCCCGCCGCCGCCGCTCGGGGTGGCTGCGGCTCGGCCCGGGCTTCCCACGTAAATACACGTACCAATATCAATAGAAACCTATCTGGATATCTAACTCTATGTGTTCTCCTCTTCCGGTGGCTATTAGTTATCTTCTTTTTTCCGGCTGAGAGATGGCGGCCCCCGAGCCGCCGCTGCCTATGGCGAGAGGCTGCCCGAGCTCCGCGGCGCTGTCTCCCGGCCGGGGCGACCGAACGCTTCTGGTCAGGCACCTGCCCGCCGAGCTGACCGCCGAGGAGAAGGAGGACTTGCTGAAGTACTTCGGGGCGCAGTCGGTGCGGGTCCTGTCCGACAAGGGGCGACTGGTAAGGGCGCCAGCCGCCGCAGGCTTCCGCCAAGGCCCTGTGGTCAGGGGTGGCGCGGAGGCCGGCGCGTTGAGCCCGGGAAGTGCGGGGGGCGGGGAGGCCTGGCGTCGTGGGGCGCACCTGTGCCCGGCCTGCCTCTGTAATATCCAACTATCAGAAGAAAAAAAAAAAAAAAACCTAGCCATCAATCTCATCACGACCCTGGGGAAGAGCACCGCTGGAGTGGAAAATTGCTTATCGTGTGTGGGGCTTGAACTCAGCGCCCGGACACTTGTTCCCGACTCAGCCTCTTGGTGCCCAAGGCTAGCGCCCCACCACTTGAGCCACAGCGCCACTTCCGGCTTTTTCACAGTCTTCAACAAGCACATACTCTTCCTGCCCGGGCTGGCTTCAAACCGTGATCCTCAGATCCCCCAGCCTTCTTAATAGCCTAGATTATCATCGGCGTGAGTCATGGGCAGCCTACTACTTTTAAACCTGACCCGCGAATCTCCCGACATCTTTTTGAATTGGGGTGGTATTTGTGTTAGGATCCAGAGTACTCTTACAAATATATAATCACGGACTTTTTGTTGTTGTTTTTTGTTTTTAATCCTGGGTTCATTTAGAAGCCTGTTTAGAATAGAGATCAGGGGCTGGGAAGGTGGCTCAGGGGTAGAGTGCTTGTCTTGCATGCATGAGACCCTGGGTTCGATTGCTCAGCCCACATAAGCAGAAAAAGCCGGAAGTGGCTCTGTGGCTCAAGCAGTAGAGGGCTCTACTTGAGCTAAAGAGCTGAGGGACAGCACCCAGGCTCCACGACTGACCCACGGTCCCCCACCCCCCCCCCAAAAAAATAAAATAGAGATCAAAATAAGGAAGAATCTGGGCGCTGGTGGCTCACACCCAGGATCCTAGCTACTCAGCAGGCTGAGATCTGAGGCTCCCCATTGGAATCCAGTCAGAGCAGGCAAAGTCTGTGAGACTTTGATCTCCAATCAAACACCAAAAAAGCTGAAAGTGGAGCTGTATCTTCCTTGTCTTGAGCACAAAAGTCCAAAGACAGAGTCCGGGCCCTGAGTTCAACCCCAGGACTGGCAGCAGAAAAAGAGAGAAAAGAAAATTACAGAAAGAGATCTAAAACCTCTTTCTTGATTTTTGAGGAGAGTTCCTAAAGTTTCCAGACAGAATTGTTTAGGGAACAATATGCTTAACAGTTAAAAGGTTCCACTTGGGGATATACCTAAAAAATTTTAATACCACATGCATTTTGCATGGTTTTCTTTTTATTAAAGAATTAATGAGAACACTGTTTCTGATGGGTCCCCTAGCCAATCGTTTTAAAATCTTATTAGGACATTCTAATGTGCAGCCAGGTTAAAAGACCAGTGTTGATCAAATTATCATGTACATCGGCTCTGTTTGTTTTATTTGGCCATCTCAAAATTAGATTGTGTGATAATACATACTCAGGTATTCTTTATAAATATTGGCAGGAAGCTACTAGTAATAGAATGATTTGCATTTTTTTCTAATGGCTTTAAAATATTGATAACTTACAGGTAAACATAGACTTCTGTTAAAACTAATTACAAAAATAAAACTCAAACATCCATCTTGAGTGGTTTCTCTCTTGGCTGGATGTTTCTCATCTTTGCCTTTAAGTGCATACAAAATGTTTTAAGATCTTTTAAGTGTCTTATAACTGGGGCTAGAGGTTTTCAAACCCCTGTTGCCTTGAAGTGTTTGAATATATAGCACATACTGCTTTGTGTTTGTATATTTTTCCATTGAAAGGCTTTGTAGCTTTCCTCTCAAAGAAGTCTGACCCAGAAAAAGTCCAAGGTTAGCCATTTGGTGTACATTAGTTAACATTCTCAGTTAATGTGTGTATTTCTTCTGTTGGCAAAATGTCAACATTTTTTATTTTATGAAAAACAGATTATATTGAAGTAATTTGTGCTTTTAACTCTATTACAGAAACATACTGCTTTTGCTACTTTCCCTAATGAAAAGTCAGCTATAAAGGTATGGTTTTTGTTTTGCTTTTTAAACCAGTACAATTATGAACAATTTCTTATCAAATCTTAGTGCAAAACTGTTAGGTATACTTAAATTGTTGTTTTTAAAAACAAAAGCTTTTATTCAAAAGAATTTATCCAGCAGGCTACATACTCGTTTGTCAGGTGACAGAGCTTGTTCAATGTTTGTATAAGAATAATTGATTAGCTGTAAACCAAATTAAAATTAGGTTCTGTACACATAATTTAAAACGTCAAGTTGTTAAGGCTATAAAGTGGATAATTATCTGTAACTGTTACAAGCTAAGGTATTTTAAGTGTTTTTGTTTTGTTCTGAGCAATGAGGATTGAATTTGTGTATACCAGAGAAATTTTCTATAACTTGAGTTCAAAATGCCTTCAGCATTTTTGTTTTTAATTGTGTTTTTAAGACAAGGTCTTGCTGGGTGCTGGTGGCTCACACCTGTAATCCTAGCTACTCAAGAGGCTGAGATCTGAGGATCATGGTTCAAAGCCAGCCAGGGCAGGAAAGGCCATGAGACTCTTATTTCCAATAAACCACTCAGAATACCAAAAGTGGTGCTGTGGCTCAAGTGGTAGAGTGCTTGCCTTGAGTTGAAGAGCTGAAGGACAGGGCCCAGGCCCAGAGTTCAAGACCCATGACCAACAAAAACAAACAAACAAAAAACTGGGTCTCCCTGCCATTGCCCAAGTTAGCCTTGAACCTGCTACCTTCACAGTAGTTGGGATTACAGATTTAGCCACTATAGCTGGCTCGTTTTTAAGTATGAAAAGGTGTATGTCAAGGAATCCTCTGCAGTGGGATGACCGAAGTAGACCTCTGCTTATTTACCTGGAATTTAAGAAGAAAACTTGTAGAGATGTATCCTTTCAGGTTTATGGACAAGTAAAGCTACCAGATATGAAAAATGTTGTAAGTAGGGCAGGAGCTAAAGGTTGGAATAGAAATAAGATTTGAAAAATGTAGAGTCTGTGTGGAAGAGTGTATTAAATTTGTTTACTAAGGTTTGAAGAGCATTTGATACTTTTGAACTGGCTAAAAATATAATCAGACATGTGAAAAAAATCTGGTAGAGTTTATATCATGGATTGAATGTAGAAAAAATACTAGAGGAAGAAGATACCAAAGGAAGCTGTTTTTGAGGCCAGAAGGCAAAAGGAGAAGCATATATTTATATTCAGAGATCATTTAGGTGTTGAAGGAGTTAGGAGTGAGGAAACAGTTCAAGACATTTGGATATATTAGTGAAGGAGTTGTTTGCAAAGCTATTTTTAATGAATTCATGTCATCTGTTAACTTTAAGAAATAAGTGGGATTGCTTTCAGGAGATATTTAATAACAACATAAGCATTGTTCCTGTTCTTTGATCAAGGCGTGCTCTGTCACTTAAGCCATAGCTTCACTTCTGGCTTTTGATTAATTGGAGTACTGTGGACTGTTCTCCCTGTGATTCCTCCAATCTCAGTCTGTTGAGTACATAGGATTACAAGTGTGAGCCACCAACACCCAATTGTTCTTTTTTTTTTTTTTTTCCCCTCGCCTAGGTTGGCCTGGACCATGTTTTTCCTATTCTACATTACCCACTGTAGCAAGTATGATGGGTACACACCATCACACAGCTGTTGGTTGAGACAGAGGTTCCTCCTGCCCTTGATGGATTTGAGCTTACATTTATTTTGATCTCTGCATATGTAGTAGCAGAGATTATAGGCACGCTTATCATAGATGTGAAAAGAAGAGGGTTTAAAGAAGAGCTCTTGTGATAGACATAATGAAAACAACACAATTTAAGATGGATGATAGAGATGTCTTAAATTCTCATCATTAATGGGGGAGGGATACCTCAGTTTATATACCTCAATTTCTTTTATAGATTGAAGATTCCAAATTGAAAATGCTCCAAAATCTAAAATTTTGATCTTTGACATGTTCCTACAAGTGGCACATTCCACACTAGAACACTCAAAATATAGGCACAATAAAAATAGGTTACCTTCAATCTTATGTATATATGAGAAACACAAATATTATGTTTAAAGTTTTACGTCCTAGATACCTCATTTATGTGCACATATTCCATGATCTGAAAAAAATTACAAAATCTCAATTCTGTTCCCAGACATTTCATGTATGAAATACTGTGGATCCATGTTTGGTTATAATTAAGAATTGTATTAAGTGGTATTTAGCAGCAGAAGATAATAGCCCGGGTATAATACATAAATGAAAATGTTACATATAACTTCTGATTTATTTGAAAAATAATATATATATATACATTTATGGTGTATGTACACACAAAATATGTATATGCAAAGAAAAACATTGTTTATAACTAATATATAGTATACATTAAAAATGAAATTTTATAAATTATAAAAATAAAAAGTAGATAAATTGAAATAAATAAGATACAAAATAATATAAATAAAATAATATAGAATATAAGTATATTAAAAATAAATTATAATTTAGCGTTTATCAACAACTGACAATGTTTGGAACAGTCAGCTATGGCCAGGATTGAAATACAACACTGTAAGAATAAGGAAGTAGTTAGAGACATCACTAGGGTGGAATGGGTGAAATGTAGTTCTCAAGAAGGCTCAAGGATCCTGGCACTAGTGGCTCAAGCCTGTAATCTTAGCTACTCAGGAGGCTGAGATCTGCAGTTGGATGCCAGCCCCAGCAAAAAAGTCCCTGTGGGACTCTTATCTCCAGTTAACCACTGAAACCTGGAAGTGGAGGTGTGTCTCAAAGTAGTGCATCTCCAGCCTTGAGCACAGAGCTCAGGACAGTGCCCAGGCCCTGAGTTCAAGGCCCACAACTGAACAAAAACATGAGACTCTTAGCTAGTTTTAGTCATACAGAACTATGATATCAGCTACTGGAGATAGAAGTAGGAGGATTGTAAATTTGAGGCAGCTCAGGAAAAGATTGCAAGACCTTTTCTCAAATACAAAAAGATAACAGTAAAGGGAAAGAAAGAATACAGGGCCGTGAAGGGCTTCAGTCCTCAGTACTGAAATAAACAGATTAATAGAGAAAAAGAAAAGGAGAGTTATATGTTTAAAAATAGAGAGTGTGTGACCTCTGTTCAGCTTAGATGACATCTATTTTAGGTAATTAAGGATTCGCTGATAAAGAAGAGGTCTAGAATTAATTTAGAATCTTGGAAATTATTTTAAAATTTGTTTTATGTAATGAAAACAATTCAAATAAGGATACAATAGGATTGTACAGTTACATTGTCGTCACAGATTTTATTAAGTACTGACTCTTGCTAGATGTGGTTTGAAAGCTCAAGCATATATCAACGTACAAAAGAACAATATCTTACAAATTTTTGAAAGGAAGCACGGATTGCTTAATATTTTAAAAGATGATAAACAGCAATACATGTTTGCTGGATGGGGAGGAGTCAGCTGGTACTTTGAGTGGTTAGGGTCATATTTGGCAAAGATTTGAAGGAGGTGTAGGATGTTTTCTAAGGAAATGCATAGGAGAAAATATTCTACACAATATTGGGAAGTCTAGGGTACAAATAGTGTTTGTCATGTTCAAGAAAGCGGCTTATATTGAAGAAACAAAATGAAGAAATGATCAATGGATCTGAACTCTGGAGAAATAATAAAGTCCTTATTGTGTCTGTTTTAGTAATGAGGACTTAAGATTTTGCTCTGAGAAAGGAGCCAGTAGAGTATCTTGAGCAAGTGACTGACATCACTTACGTGTAAAAAGAATTAATTTAGTAGTTGAGAGTATAGACTGAAGAAGGGAAAATCTTGAAGTGGGAAAATCTAAAAAAGGATTAGAACCTGGATATATTTTGGTTTTGAATGAGATGTGAGAAAGGAATGTTGAGGATGATTCTAAGATTTTTGATCTGATTATCTAGAAGAATGGATTTGCTCTCAAATGGGGGAAGTCTCCAAATAGAGCCTATGTGGTAATAATCTGTTCCTGGACTTCATGACAGAGATGGAGCATTTAAAGTTTCAAGTTGGAAGAGTCATAAGCACAACATTTTTCATTTAAATTTAGTTTATTAGAAGAGTTTGCAGAGAGTTGGAGTCAAGCATATTTTTATTTTGCTAACTTATAGGAAATAGTCCTTTGATAAGTAATAAAGACCTGATGCATTCAGATTAAAAATGGACAAAACTAGCTAAGGCAGGATTGTATATTAACAATCAAAAATGTAAAAGTATTTGTATATAGGATGATAGGAAATTGTTTTGAGTACAATTATTATATTTTTACTTTTCCTCTAACTGAAGGCCTTGACAAGACTCCATCAGATGAAACTTTTAGGTCACACTTTAGTTGTTGAATTTGCAAAAGAACAGGATCGAGTTCATTCCCCATGTCCCACAGCAAACACTGAGAAAAAGAAAAGGTATGTAGATATTCCTGTTTTTCTACCATTCTAAACACTTTTTATTTTTTTTTAATTTTTTATTGTAAAGTTACTATACAGAGGGTTACAGTTACATGAGCAAGGTAATGAGTACACTTCCTATCCAGCATTGTTACCCCCTCCATTGTTTTCCCCCTACCATCCTTCCCTCCCTACCTTCCATGCGGTTCTTTTTTTTTTTTTAATTGTGATTAAGTGATTACGTAATTTCCCAAATTTCACAGTATTGTGGAATAATGATGCTCATTTAAAGTCACAAGTCCATTCTAACTTTTCTTGGAGCAAATTGTCTATCATAGTCTATAACATATAACGGTGTACACATATACACCATGTATGGGGCTATTTAGTAGTGGTTCAACCAGATGAGTGGAAGTTCTTTGTTTCTTAAGTCCTGTTAATTTTTTCTTATCACCTAACATTTTGGATTTAGCATCCACTTATCAGTGAGACCATGTACCGTTTGTCTCTTTGCTCTTGGCTTACCTCGCTCAACATGATTCCTTCTAGCTCCATCCATTTTCCTGCAAATGCCATTATTTTGTCATTTCTAATGGTTGCATAATATTCCATTGTGTATAGATACCACAATTTTTTGATCCATTCATCTGTGGTGGGGCATCTGGGTTGTTTCCATATCCTAGCTATTGTGAAC